TACCGATATTTCTCGAAATTCCCAGATATGTAGGCTTAGCATGCCCTCCCCAGCTATCGAGACCGATATCGTAGTTATGCTTCGTTTGCGAAGGAGATTCGTTCGAAACACGACGAAAGCTATTGGAAATTATTCCTGTTTCCCATAAAATGGTGTGGGGTTGCATTTCCAAATTGACCACTATTTCAGTTAGTGACTTGGATGTGCTTGTGCCAGGGAACTGGCATCAAGCAAGAAGATATTAAGTAGAAAAGATTCACCTCGACTGTTCCAGGGTAAAAGTCGTGTTTTTTAACCAACACCGTGTGATTTTTGAAATCTTGTCTTTAGCTAAGTGTTACATTAAAATTTCATCACTCCATCTTCCATTATCTTGATCTTACATACCAATATCACGAAATGAATTGACCTCCATAAGAAATAAAATCACCGTCTGCTTATTTTCGATTTTCAATTTTTCTTACATATTGTTATGAAACACCCATTTAGCAAGATCTCAGATCTCAATTTTTTTGGAAATCGTCCGAAAACTTTTGAGTTATGGTAATAAAAAATTGAAAAAAAGAAATTTGGCAAAACCAGAAAAAGTATACAGGCATTCTGATTTCCTGTTTGAACAGAAATAACCTTTGTCCAATGTATTATCGAAGCACTTTTTCGATTTCGACTTATTTTTTGTGTGTGAATATTTGACCTAGACTACTCTTTGGACATCCCCCCCCCCCCCAAAAAAAGATTTTTTTATATACATATACGTCACTTTTACAAGAAGCACAGGGGAAAATTGCAAAAATTAATTGGATCATGCTCTAAAGCTAATATTCATCTACAAAATAAGCCATAGTATGTTTATTTTGGACTAAAATTGCGTTTGTTAAAGCCTTTGCTCATAAAAAAAGGCAGTGTCTCGAGGTATTGGCAGTCGATGTTTTTTATCATCGTTTCATCATTGTTTGGGTAGGAACAAAATAAGGTATAAGAATAATCTTCCTGTAATAATCCGCTATCACCTAACTCATATATCTCATATAATAACTCAGCAACCTACTTATGTTGGGGGTGCGCTTAGAATGTTCAAAACATTTTGCTGAAGGATGAACATGACGAAATATGATCCAAACAAAAAACTAAAATAGTTTACATAAATGTCATATGATTCTTCTTTATCCTTATTTCAAAAATCTTTATTTTTGTTTTAACTCTCCAGATTTTTAAAATCATTTAGATAAAATGCATGAAAATATCCTCATTTTTAAAAATCATTATATCTATATATTGCATCGCAATTGCCATTTTCGAAGATGAGGTGAGAAATCACAATATTTCGGTGGCAAACCTAAAGGGTACCACTTTTTTTCTTTTTTTTATCATCGATTTTGATGAAACTCGCACCCATTTATCTAGACAGCCTGATTTCCGAAGTCGATTTTTTCTAAATCTCGAAAAGTTTTTGAGTTATAGTAAAATAAATGAAAAAACACCAGGTTCCCATTTTGAAATATTGACAGTTTCAAAAATCGTATAATTCAGAAAAAAAGGCATTCCGATGTGCTTTGTGAACAGATTCATCCTAAATCTAGTACTTGAGTCACACACCTTTTTCGATTTGAAGTAACCGACTTTTAGAAAAAAAAAAAAAAAAAAAAAAAAAAAACATATATGCCAATTTTACAATCATAGGAAAAAATGCAAAAAGTAAATGACACAAAGACTAGACTTTTTATTCAGCTCCAAAATGAGCCATAAAACGTTTACTTTTGACTAAAATTGCATGTGGTAGGGCTTTTGAAGACTACAAAAGTATATTTCGAGGAACTGACATTTTTATATTTTCATAACTATTTTGGTATTAACAAAATTAGGTATAAGAATAGTCTTCCTATAAAATAATCCTCTATCATTTAGCTGCATTCCAAAGTATTGAAGAAATTCCTAGCTAGTAACAGTATCTCATTAAGCGACATTTGTTATAGTAAGTTCACTGATTTGGAGTGTTTATAGGCCTATATTGATCATTTTCGGAAATTTCTCAAATATCCCCCAGAATAACAGAAGTACTCTGATTTCATTTTCGAACAGAAAAACCTTTTATCTGGGGCTTGTATGAAGCATTTTTTTCGATTATGACACTTTTACAAGAGGCACAGGAAGAAATGCAAAACAAAATGACACAAGCCCTTAATTTATCATTCAGAGTGGTGTAAAACTATGATATATAAGTATATAATTTCCGTCTATTCCGTGATATGTTTATACATATATTGTTGCTGCGGTGTGTTTGTTTGTCGTTTTGTCGTTGTTATGTTTGCAGGATAATTCAAAAAGCAATGGACAGATTTTAATGAGATTTTACCAGAGGTGTGTTGTAGCCTTAGACCCCATGATATTTTTGTGATCTGGATCATGAATCGAAGTTAGGATTATTTTTTTTTCCAACTCAAAAAGTTATGGGCAGATTTTAAGGAAATGTTTACCTGAGGTGTGTCCTAGGCTAACATAT